GCTACAACCGAATTGCTCGAAACTCACTAAAATATGAGACTTTGGAGGGCTGCCTGACCACTCGTTTAGCTAATATCTAGCTGGCAAGAGGGCAACCGGTAAATGGATGAGCGCCTAAATCGGACGCTTCCCATGACCACCAAATCCCAGACTATTCGCTAGTACTGTTCACACCTGCGTCCGCGGGCTCTATACCCACCTAACAGCATGCCAACCTGTCTGTTTCCAGTATTCATCGTCGACGGCCCCCCTGTATGCACAGCGACGGGAGGGTAGGATAGCCATCGGCCACCGATTTGAGTGGCAGGGAAGGTGATGCCAAGCTTGCCAACACCAAACCCATCTTGGAATTCGATGCAGTGCAATACTGCCTGGCGGTAGGCGATCGGTCCGAGCCAGCGGTTTAGACGACTGGGCATGTAGAATCCAGGGCAGAAGGCAGATGGCAGGCATCAAGCAGGGGAATAGCTGTGAGGGCATCGACCCTAAACGGGTTCAGCTACTGCCAGGGTAAGACGGGTAGGCATGCACAGAGGATGCAGTATTCCCACCATCCCGATATACTATCAAAGTCTACTACCTACTGTACCGCTCTGCCGCCACGCCTGTGTGCATGACCAAATAGGTAGCTCGCTGACTCGTGCGTACAGATGTTAATACTGCTTCGTAATCTAGTCTTATTTTCTTTCATCGAGAATTTCATAAAAAGCTCATGATTTCGACAAATCCCAGGGCAGCGGGAGCATCTTGTCCGAGTCTCCGGCTGTATCCACAATGGCTCATTTGACGACGACCCGCTTTACGCCGGTAGGCAGTGGCATTCCCAAGGTTTGCTTGTTGCCGGTCTGAGCTTGTTCGCTTTCACCGCATCACGCCGCATTCATTTGGAAGGAGAGAAGAAAAGGAAGAGAAGAGAGGCTGACCAAGGTACCAACTAAGACTTGCGAAGACGGTGCCGCTACCCGAGGCTGTTTAGTCACGATGCTGCTGCAGTCACGGTATAACGAGCACAAGGTCGGGCTAAATGACGTAGCAGTCCGCTACTGAGGGTCAAAAGGGACTTCAGCCGCACATGCTGTGCTGACCGACAGATTCCTATAAGAACAATAGGCGTAGTATCGATGCTACCAAGTCTCTGTTTGTTATGATGAGAGCTTGTCCGAAGCTATTTACCCACTAGGCAGATATTGCACGAGTACTAGTATGCTCGCCCTCCTTTTCTCTGCGCTGGAGAGGTACTTCAAGCCGCCGAACTGATTTTAGATCAACTGCCAAAGAAAACCCTAAAATAAGATAAATCGGCTCGACAGACCAGGAAGGCGCGCTTGCTCTAACGGTGGGTGACGTCGGAAGTTGAGTTTGGGACCCATAGTTACGTCGGTGGCGTCCATTGGAGATCCTGGCCGAATCCGTATTGGGGAAGTGGAGCTAATGGAGACACGTGTCGCTCCAATCCAGAGCTGCGAATGGAAGCGGGAGCAGCATTTCTCTGCTTGAACAAACAGACATTTCTAAGTTTCCTCTGTTCCGCAAACGACTGCCATATCTCGAGATATGCATGAGCTATGAAAGCGGTTGTAGCACGAGTACCTAAGGTGAACTATTTGTAAGAGAGAGATCATGCGATTCTGGGATAACTTCAAGGTTGTACGTAGCTACCATTCTACCATTCTACCTAAGGTAGGTAGGTAGGCTCTGGGGTCCCAAGGCATAGTGGGATACTTGCGCGTGCTCTCTATTCAATTCTATCGGCAACGCTCGTCCAGAATTGCATGTACATATGCATCCATCGTAGCTTCGGTGCCCACCCCGGATATCTGATATCAAGCCTGAAATCGTTCCGGCTGGTATTTCCATAGAGATGGTGATCTGCCAGATGGATCACCGCCGCCAGGAACAGGTTTAGTTTTATTTCGTTCTCTTCCTAGCAAATGTATTTTCTCGTATCTATTTTGACGCGATATTCGGTGCTCCACTTAGGACCTTCGCCTAGAAGGCTACTAGGCCCAGGATACCTTACATAGATAGGCCTAGGATGTCGTCTGGACGGAAAAAAAAGGAAAAGAAGATCCTGCTACCCTGTCGTTCTTCGGGAATATCAACATTAATGCACAAAGAAGAAAGGCATTTCCGGCCCGGGCAAGCCCTTTCTTCGTCTCTCTCTCTCAGACAGAGGCTCCTCTCCCCCCACCTGGTTAAATTGGTTTGAACGGAGACGGTGGACACTCACCGTTCGGTATCGTCAAAGCTTTAGATAGCCAATGAGGCGCAGCAGCTTCGTTGAATCAGGAGAATACGTTACCGCCGCGTGGTATAGTCAACGGCGTCAGCGATATTAATAGAGATATTGGCCAGATAGGGTATCTAATACCGGATATGGATTTACGCGTCTCATTTCCGGATCGGCTTGAAAGCTGCGGTGCTTCGAGTTATGAGCATATACATAGCAATGACCAGCTATTCGGCAAATTGATTTACAATGATATATTTTCGCGACAGCATTGCGTAGGAGCATATTTAGGTACATGAAAAAGCAAGGTAATGAACCGCATTTCTCATTTGAAGTAGAACTTTTAACTTAGTAGTGGTCACTCAAAGCGACAGGCTTGGTCGGCCCAATCCTAGCTTCTGCTTCTGGATCCTAGGATATACTCCGATGACGACAAGAATCGACAAGATGAGCGTAGCCCAGAGCTTCAGCTTTAGTACATTCTTGTTATAATCCGTTGCCGTCGCACTGTTGATGGTCGCCAGCAGGAGCAGCAAGACGAAATATCCGCTGAGTCGGTGATACTTCCAAACAGCCTTGGCGTTCTCCTCGCCCCCGTACAGCTTCGGCGTAACCAGCATGGTAAACCCAACGAGATATTGTAGAAGAAGTACCCCAGCGGTGATGAAGCCAAAGTAGGCATGTGCGGAGTGAAAGTGCGGGTTGTGGTTCTTCACTTTGTTGTATTCAATGATTGTCACGCCGGCGATGAGAGAAAGCAATGCTACCACGTTGAGTAGAGCGTGAATACGTTGTCCCACGCGCTTCTGCTCAAGCGTATGGGTGGGCTGCAATGAGAGGATGGATTGAACCAGCACTAAGACTGCAAAAGACTGAGCGAGAGGATGCCCTGAGAAGAGTATGAGAGGCTTGGTGAAGACACTGGCCCAGATGAGAATGACGAGAAGCCAGATGCCTATCTGCGCGACGATACCAGTGCCTTTTGTTTGGATTCCGCGTTAGAAAGCAACTCTAAAGCATATTTGGGGATAATTGCCGATATTGACATACCAAGAACTAGATTGTTGAAGACTGATTTGCCCTCTTCTTGCGCAGCATCTCCAGGGCGACCGAGGAGTGGTTCGGTCTCGCGACCCGTGAGTCCAGTCTCTTCGGTGTCACTGGGGCGTGTTTCCGGTACGCCTGTAGCACTGGCCATTGTGTTGATTTCAAAAGTTCAGAGCGCCTGATACTTCTGGCTAAGCGATGGAAGAAAAGTTCAGAAAAATATATGTCTGAGGTATGGAGCCGCGGTACGGCTAAGTTGGAAGCTCCAAAAAGAGTCAGGTCAACAGCAAGGCAATGGTAACGGTGGTTGGTGATGGCTTTTATCAGTTTATTTATTCGAGTCGTACTTATCAAGTCTTCAAATCTCGAGCACTGAAGATTGAGTGCAAGGAAGTAATTGAGAAAGAGAAGAAGGAATTTGCAAACAGTAAGAAGTTGAAATAAAGCCACGACAAAGTGGCGAGCGTGATGTCTTGTATCCAAGAACAGCACGTCATTGACAGGCGTCCAGGCTAAACAGTCTAGATCCGGGCTGGCAGCCGTGATGGGGCAGAGCGGTAGATAACAGCTTTATCGGGAAGCTGGGCCAATCAGCGCCCTCTGTTTAGCAACCAAGCTGTAGCACGGCCGCCAAATATGGGGGCCGTAGCGCGGGGAGGCGCTGAAGCGAGTGCTGAGATGCACATCGAGGCAGCTATCACCATTTTACCTGGCCAGCACGTCAAAAGCGGTGGCATTGGTGGTACGTTGGATACATAATGGTTGGCGAGAGATGTGATACAGCGCAACATGATCCCGTTGCACATTCTCAAATATTCTAGGCGCATCAGGTTTATTATCGTTGAATCCGTCTCGTGCTTTTTTTTGCCGAGCGTGGCTATCGGGGTCCAGCGTATGAATGGGCGCATCAGATGCACAGTCCACAAGTTACCAAATGTCTAGGTCATCTACGACATGGCGGCGGCAGCTTGCGGGGTCTAAACTCTCTTCGCGCTGGCTTGCGTCGGATCTTTTTCTCACAGGATTGCTCTACCTTATCTCACGTCCGATCTCTGGTAAGTAGGCCTCCAATAGGGTGTTTTTCTGAAATTGCGAGAGCAATATGCCCATGTGCTAGGACAGGAAGAGGCAGCTAGTCATGTGTGCATCTTGTACACGCTGGCGAAGATTGGTTTTATAGATTCGCAGTCTCAGTGCTCGCGAAAAAATGGTCAATGATTCCGATTATTCGCTCTTAATAAACTACGCTGGTGTTGGTATGACAATGCCGTAACAGATATTGGCAGAATGGCTACTCGCAGTTATTTAGCCAGATCTCAACCCACGAAACATGCCCCCTCCCCGACTCGGACGATTATATGATGCAGTAGCTGAGACATGTCTAGATCCTTTGGCAGCTTTTCTTTGCTATCAACGGACTAGCTGATGCAAATCTCAATCACGACAGACATTAAGTACATATAGTCTAAGTTGCTGGTACCATAGATAGATGCGCTTCCCCGCTTATCTGTCCGGTTGCCGCCGGGCTACCGCTCCGCAGGCCGGCGTCGGAGGTGGCCGATATCTACCTAATATAGAGGGGCATGGTTACGACCTCTTATCAGGCCGTTGGTGCAGCGGAAAGAGAGACTGAACTTCTGATTCCTGGCTCACGAGCAACCTTCGACTGTCGCATAAGATTAGACCGCCTACTGTCCGCTGTCAAACCAATCACTCATTCACAATGTCTTCGTTTGCTGACGAGGTTGAGTATAAGCTGCAAGCCGTCAAGGCTACGCAACTGGGCCCTGATGAGATCGACACGACGTTTCGCCCAGCATGTATAGGTACGCTGAAACACCTGTCTCGTCCTGCTCCCTTCCGCACATTATTGAAGGAACATCTACTGACACCAGCTTCGATGAGCTAGACCTTGTCTCAGCGGGATTGGGCGGCAAGGTCCTTGGATATTCAGATCAGTGGTTTGCTGAGGCAGCCAATCTCCTAACTCCTACGGCTCCCATCCGCCAGCCGGGCAAGATGGTCTATACTGGAGCGTGGTATGACGGCTGGGAGACAAGACGCCATAATCCCGAGGAATTCGACTGGGTTGTGATTCGCCTCGGCGTCGCCTCAGGCACTGTTAACGGAGTTGAAGTAGACACGGCCTTTTTCAACGGTAACAATGCTCCCGCCATCTCTGTCGAAGGATGCTTCAGCGACAACGACGATGAGGTTGTTTCATGGAAAGGGGGCCGAGGTAAATGGGAAACAATTCTTGATATTCGAGAATGTGGACCAAGCCAAAGGCACGGCTGGAACCTCAACGAGCCCACAGGCAAGCAGTACACTCACGTGAGGCTCAACATGTATCCCGACGGCGGCATTGCAAGATTCCGCCTGTTCGGGCATGCTGTTCCCGTATTCCCTGAAGATAAGGATGCCGTACTTGATCTTGCAGCGGCACAAAACGGCGGCATCGCCATCTCATGCAGTGACCAACACTTTGGCTCCAAAGACAACCTGCTGCTACCGGGCCGTGGGAAGGATATGGGTGATGGCTGGGAGACGAAGCGTTCACGAGGCAAGGATCACGTTGACTGGACGATCGTCAAACTGGGAGCCACTGGATATATCCAGGAATTTGTCGTCGACACTGCACACTTTCGAGGAAACTTTCCTCAAAAGATTACTGTCCACGGTCTGTCGTGGCAAGGAGAGGGAGAACCCGATTTCAAGTCAAAGGGATGGGTTGAAACTGTGTTGCCGAGCAAGACTGGGCCTGATCAGGAACACAAGTTTGCTTCTGCGGTGGTAGATGTGCCCTTTACACATGTTAGACTTACGATGATACCTGACGGAGGAGTAAAGCGATTTCGAGCATTTGGCAAGCGAGCGGTATAGGGCCAGAGGGATTGATGTTGCATAGTATCTACGTACTAACTGGCTTATGAATTCCCTTCAAAAGCATAACAATATAAATTCTCGTATGAAAGAAATTAAAACAATTTTTTTTTCTTCTGTTTTTGGGTCGTGAAACTTGAAAGAAATAATTACTCCATGTACATTATCTTTCCACCCATACAACGCCTCTGGCGTCAATTCCAGCGAGTGCCTAGACAGTGTGCGCACGGACCACCTCCGGGGATGCTGTATCAATATCTACCCGATGACGAACCTAGCTGCTAACAGCAATTGAAAGTGGGTAGGATAGGTAGACCGCTCTCTTGTCCAGGACACTTTGCACGCGACTCCAGACTCGCCTTTTGCTCGAGCAAGCCAGCTGTGGCATCTGATTCGACCGCGATACCAACTCGGGCCAGCAGCTCATCCGTGGCGACCGCATCGGCCAAGTGCAACAAGCGACGGGACGTCCCATGAGCCAGGCACTCTGGCATTGCCCCTCCTCCCACCATGGACCCTGGGGAATCTGGCAGCGATAATGGCTTCGAGAGCAAACCACGAGCCATTCCCGACGACCTGCCAAAGTCCTTGGACGACCGACGACATGCTGGCGGCGAGTTTACAATGCCCGAGACGGAGATGTACGATGGCTGGCAAGGTGCGTGCCGTGGCGAAAGCGACATCCTTCTGTCCCCCCCCTTAATAGCTACCTAGTTGCCCAGCTATCAGCAATGAATGCGAGATTTGGGGCTTATACGAATCGACTCGCTAATAATATACAGGCCAATCTCAGTTTCTCACCTCGCCGGTACTAGCGAAGCCGCTCAACTTCGAAAACCTGTCTTTGAACGACACGACCGACCAAGACGACTTCGCTGGTAGCGGCCCGAAAGATAGCGATGCTAGATTGATGGAAATGTTGGCAGCCCAAGCAGCCCACCGCAATGAAGCGGCGCTGGAAGATGAGGATGCCATCATAAACAATGACAAGATGTCCGAGTCTGAGAAGAAGGATATACTACAAAGGGCATTGACTATGGCTGCTAGCAATGGCGATACTGAAAAGGTCAAGAAGCTGCTGGAGGGAGATGCGAAGCCTTTCGTTGACATTAATCTTCCTGACGACGATGGAACTCCAGCACTGATTTACGCCAGTTGTTTTGTTCGTCGTCCCCGCCTACAATGTATCGTATTGACATGTGCTAACTGATTGAATTAGGGTCATGAAAAGGTCGTCGAGGCTCTAATTGAAGCGGGTGCCAATGTGAACCAGCAGGACCGCAATCACTGGACACCTTTTATGTGGGCAATGACGAATCGCCACAAGGCGATATCAAAGCTGCTACTCGATAAGGGAGCATCGTCGGAGCAAAAGACATCATCTGGACGGACGGCCTTTGACTTTGTTCCCCCGGATAGCGATATGTCGTTTTACCTGCACGATAATGGATATAACATTGGGAGTGCGGGTATCATGGGTGATTTCTATAATGCTGGCTTCTCCCAAGACCGGTTCGAAGAAGAAATGGCAGAAAACGAGATGCGGAGACGGCTGATGATGGAGAGTGCTCGTGATCTGGAAGTTGACCTGGGAAATGTTGGAATGGACGATCAACCAGAGGTATGTTTGAACTGTCACAGTCCACCACAACACGAGTCCTTGGCAATCATTTGGCTTTTTCTAACGTTCTGTGATCTTTTCTTTTTTTTAGCCCGTGGACGAATTTGAAGAAGAGCAACAGGAGTTTGACTGGAGCCGCTGTCTCCACGACCAAATGTTCGTCTTCCAAGAACATGAATTGGGCCGGCTATTGGATATTGTCGTCACCAACATGACTCCCCAGCGGTCGCCATCGCAGAAACCAGTTCCGGCCAACATGATATTCCTCGGTGCTAGATATGCACACTACCATGCTAGCCCAGATCTTCTGAGGAGGCTACTGGTATCCGCCATGGAGCGCATCAATGCCGTCGTTGAGAAGTCCCAGTGGGACATGACTATCCTGGCTTTTTGGATCTCAAACGCGACGCTACTTCTGCATTATCTCAAGAAAGACGCTGGACTAGTTGAAGCAACTACCGAGTTCCAGGCACAGCTTGCAGAACTTATCAATGAGATATTTGTGCTCATCGTTCGCGACGCCGAGAGACGTCTGGACAAAGTGCTCGACCCTGCCATGCTGGAACACGAAACAATTCCCGGCTTCGAGGATATTGCATTTCAAAACGAATGGAAGATCTTCAAAAGAAAGTCTACAGTTAAGGAGCAGCCTCTTGAGAAGCGCTTCCGTCCGCCGTCTCCCAAACAAAGGGCGAAGCCAGCACCTCGAAATGTTACGTCCTTACTATCATCGACACTCTTTGTGCTGGATCTCTACGATATTCACTCTGTTATCACGGCCCAAATAATCTCTCAGCTCATCTACTGGCTCGGGTGCGAGCTGTTCAACAGGATTATATCCAATCGCAAGTATCTGGCTAGGACAAAGGCAATGCAGATCCGCATGAACGTGTCAATGATTGAGGACTGGGCGCGTACAAACAACAGACAAGCAGAGCATTATGAGGGCGGTGAGATGAACTCATCGGGCGAAACAACCATGGATGCGGCCAAGCGACACCTTGCCCCCGTGATTCAACTCTTGCAGTGGCTGCAGTGCTTCTCATCGCTAGACGCTGATGACTTGGAGGCCCTAGTTGGCACTCTCCAGCAGTTGAAAAGAATGACGCCGCAACAGCTGATTCACTCGGCTACGCATTACCGTCCCGAGGTTGGCGAAAAGGGCTTACCCGGTAGCGCCATGAAATATCTCATTGCCATTCAGAGGGAGGCGGCACTCAAGAAGGACCGACACCAGAGTGGCCAGACTGTTGGTGCAGAAAGCGCCCCAACCACACCCGTGACGTCCAACTTCAACGGAAACGGGCCTCAAACTCCAAAAAGTGTTCGAATAAAATCCCCGGGTAGCATCAAGGGTGCAGACTCTGATGATGAGGACAACACTCCCAAGAGTCTGCTGCTAAACCCCGCCTATATGCTGCCCTTTGCGCTGCCATCGGTGACAGACATGCTTGTATCGTATGGAGCTGGCTTTGGAGGTGTCAACAGAGAGAGGGAGCGCAAATACATCCCAACTGTTCCACCGGAGTTTTTGGAAAAACTGGAAGTGAATGGCTCTCGCAACCCACCAATGTTTGAGGAGAAGGATTGGGAGAATGAGGAGGTTTGAAGCATGGAATGAGTCCTGCAAGGCGCTGATACTACTGCTGAAGGAGCAGATATGAAATTGAAGAGGAGAGAGATGGATATTCTTGATTGGCTGAATTGGAGGCAATAACCATTGGCAAGGGGTTTTCACCAACAGGCCGAAGGGGGAAAAAAGAAGACCATATATAGAAAGCAACATCTACGGTTTATTGCACATTGAACGAGTACATGACGATTCCGACTGAGCGGCCACCGCAATTTGTTTATCGACGCATCTGAAACTTCAGCTGCTTATTTGAAAGGGAAACAGTGGATTGAAAAAAAGTGACATGAAGATTTTTTCTTTATTTTTAACCCCCTTCTTGTTGTTTTGTCTACCTACGCCTTGTTCTTTCTTTTTTGCTGCTGCTACTGCTACTCCTGCATTAGCAAGATGAATCGAGGAGGGTACGCGAAACGAGGTGAAGCTAAGAGAGAAGCCTTTCCAACGTGCATGAAAAGAGAGGGGAGCAGGGGTCATGGTTTAAGGAAGAGAGACAGCGCGGCAAGCACCGAGAGGAGGAGAGAGGGGAAAACGGTTCATGGAGAAGGAAGGACTCTGATTCTTGTGTCCGGAAAAGGATAACGTTACGGCGATGCATATGTACGTTTTGTAATTTTGGAGGTTCAGTTGCTTGAACGTCGACAATAAGCCTTTTTTTCTTTGTTATTCTTTCTTGTTATCTCTACAAAAATACTGTCTTTTTGTACTACTTAATTTCATAATTTTTACGCTACATACTGGGTATATACGAGGCAAGGGAAAATAGTAAATTGCCACCCGATAGTATTATGTTCTTGGATTAGGCCGACAGGAATAAGAGAAAGACCGTTTCCTCTTGTTTGTTCTCTCTTCTCCATCGTACCGATAAGGTTGATTAATAACGACGTAGCGTTAACCATAAGACCAGAGAAGGGAAAAAGGCTCTATCGGCTCGGAGAGGGGCGTCCGCAAGCTTTCAGTTTTTTGGACCGCCGGAGGAAGTGGATCTGACCGGGGTGGGTATGCTTTGGAGCTCCACTAGCGGGATGGCGATTTGTTTACAGAGAGCCACGTTGAAAAGAGAGAAGCCAGTAAGGGTAAGAAGGTGGTCAATTAATTTAAATTTTTTTTCTTTCTTCTTCATAGATGCACGCTATTGGTTTTCTCGGGGATGTGATGTGTCATTGACATGGGGTATTTCTTTTCACGATAAGAGTGAAGTTTTTTTCGCTTTTACTGGGATTGACCCTGGTGAAAGTGGTTGCTGTGTTGTTGGGGTGGTATTGGGCTGGATTCTAGATATGCGAGGGAGAATTAGCAAGCAGTAGACTGTAGCAGAAGTATGAGTAGTACAGAAGAAGTAGGTGTTTGCTTTTTAAGATACTGTCATCGATTGGCGAAAAGGCGGCTTGCTTCTTGGGGATACCAGAGATGTAGCGCTAGGCACGGGAGCCAGGTACTTACGTATGACATACATATGGCTTTTTCTTTGGCCGTGTTAACCACCGTCAATCCATAGACATCTATCTAACTCAGGCAGGAATATGTGCCAAGGTAGCACGAATTACGTGGATGGCAAGCAGATAATAAACGGGCAGCAACGGGTGGGCTTCATTGAAGACGCCAGTGCTTGGCCCTCGTCCCTCGAGCTGAGTATTCCCACCCACGGCATATAATGTGTGTGTGTGTGTGTGTGTGTGTGTGTGTGTGTGTGTGTGTGTGTGTGTGTGTGTGTGTGTGCCCATTTTGAAAGAACATGAGTGAGAAAAGGGCCACAAAACCCGTCAATAGGCTGACGGGTAGGACAGAGTTGTAGTACCGCCGAGGATCAACGGAGAAAATAGGGCACTCGGTACCTGAGGAGGGGAGCCTCGCAATACGCCTACGAGGTGCCACATCCACACACACCAAAGCGATGAAAACGAACAAAAATACGATGCAAACTCAATTGGAAAGAAAGAAAGAAAAAACGAAAAAAAAGAGGGAGGGATGGGACGGCATAACGATTGCCGAACTGGCTGGACCCCCTCTCCATGTCTCCCTTGCATTGCCGTCTGACTGGCTTCGGAATAGCACCTCAATGCTGGTTTAGGTACCTGCAGCAGCATTGCGTGCTGTGCCGCCGTTGAGCGTTTGCTCTGCCTGCATGGTGCCGGGCTGTTCTCATTATGAAGCAACAAGTGTATAATCCATGTTATGTACCCAGAGGCTGAAAAGGCCGAGATGGTGAAATATCTCAGAAAACAGAAAACATGGAATACATACTTTGACAGGGGATGAAAATGCAAATCAGTCGGGCGAGGAGGATGCGAATATGCTTCGTGAAAAAAGCTCAAGCTTCAATGGTTTGAAAAATGGCCGCAGTGCTCCAAAGTATACTTGTTTATGACTCGTCTCTTCCGCCGGCAGCCTACCTACCTCCGGGTACCTTGCATATGTTGAGATCCAAATAGGCAGAGACGGTTGTGAGAAGTGACGACCCTTGCATGAGACGGCAGCCTCTTTGTTTGCTTTATTCCCCCTCTTCCCTCTTCTCTCTCGCTTCAGTTTTGGTGTAAAATGGGCTATTCGTGCAGCAATAGTAGTATCTACGACTACGGGTACCTGGTTAAAGAGCCATCCATCTCCTCACTTCCCGTGCCGGTGGCGAATGGGCTGAAAAGATGCTAGCCGAGGTGTCGAACAGCTGCAAGAGCTGAACGAGAGAACCGAGGGAGGGAGGGGCCTCATTTTACTTGCTGCGATGCGCTGCGATGCGATGCGCTGCAAGTGTGTGATAGCATGTATGTTCCTGCATCCGCGGAGGGGTTCCATCCGGAGTGAAACCCGTTTTTGCTCAAAGTGCGCGTGTGTAAGGTATGTATATACGTGTACCTATGCGTGGCGTTCTCTGTCTATGTGGGTTTTCTATGTCTTGACTTTTCAGGAACAAGACAGCCTAGCTACCTATTTAGCTTTGCATATGCAGCCATTCATCCGGGTTCCTTCGTTGCGGCCGTTGAAGGAGGAGGGGTGCATATACGAGGCTGTCTCGATGTGTCTTGATCTTATCCGCGGCCGGCAGTTTACTGGTAGGATCAGTTGATCTCAATCTTTGTCTTTTCTTCCGCTTAGGTATCTTGGGCACCAGCTGCCGAAGCTCCATGACCTCGCTCGGATAGGTGCCGAATGGAGTCGAGACCAAATGGGTATTGCACTGTGTTTTGCGGCACTCGACAGAACAGGTCCATCTGGGATGGGACAAGTGCGTCCTGTCATTTGGCGTGCCCGTCTGCCCGATCCCGCAGAAGACGCCAAATCTGCGCCGTTTGCTTGGTCTTTGCTCTCGCCAAACGGCTGCTGGAACGGCGGGCAGCCGAAGACGAAGAGGCGGTGGGCGCCGAGTGCGTGTGTGCTTGGCATTGAAGACCAAATGCGTCGCGATCCTTCAGGCACAGGCCGTGTTGAGGCCCGAAGAGCACATCGCCGATTTGTTACGTGAAGACTGGACGTGGACGCTAATGAGCAGCGCCGGCTTCCCAGCAGTCTGGTACATACATGTAGGTTGTCGGCGCTCACTACTAGTAGGTAGTGGTAGTACCTTAGTTATCAGTAGCCGCGATTACAGCACCCCGGCCGGCAACAGCTTCAGCTTACATCGAATAGATAGACAGGCACGCTATTAGGTGCCGCTGCTAGCTGTTGCCCGATGGCTGAAAAGTGAAAACTGGAACAAGACCTAACAGGACAAAATAGCCCCCCCGGCACGCACTAGACCCCTGTCCCGCCACTCATCGTCGGGCCTCTAGCCGCATCTTAGCGTCGCTGCCGCACATCCCCGATTGGACTCTGTCACGCCAATGACTTTGGCTCACGGCGCGCCGGAACCACGCACCACAGCTTCTGTCTCGCTCTGTCTCTTGTTTCTTTTCTCTGCTCTGCTCTTGTGCCACTCGGTGAGCTATTCAGCCTATCTTGCCGTTTGATGGCCCCCGTGAATGTACATTCGAGCTGCATGTACCTGCATGCAAACATGGCGTTAGGCTTCATCAGCGCCGCATGTAGTGCAGAATCCCTTGTATCAATGTGTACAGCACGAGAGAAGATGCGATGAACGCCGAATGAACATTGCGGCACATGCGTAGCACACGGCGCTTTGGGCCACTTTCCCACTCCCGTTGACTTCCATGACAAACTCTCTGGCATCAGCGCGCTGCAAGGGACCATCGCCATACATACATGTATGCAGGCATGTAAGGCTTCTCATGCCGCTGGCCTTACAGAAAAAGAAAGGAGTGCCTCGCGTTTTCTTCCTGTTTTCTTCCTTTTCTTCTTCCCTTTTTATCACTCGTCTGTCGTTCTAGTTTTCAGCTCCTATACCACCTTCTTTTACACTTGCATGCTGATTCGCCGCTCTCTCCAAGGCTCATGTCTCAGCTCCATCTTGCTTTTTGTCTGCAAGGGATATTCCATTTACTCACTTAGCTGGAGGCGCCTCTCCAGACGGGAAGAGGCCGGGCCCCCCTAGCAATTCGCTCACTTATACACTTGGCAACCCCAGATCTTGAATCTCCAGATCTTCATATAACTTTCCAGCATCTCCTTCCTTTTCTTTGGGGGTCGTTCATCTCCATCAGACTCGCTCAAGCATCTTGTGCATGTTTGGTGCTGCAGAGAGTCGCACCAGGGGCTGAGAGTTACTGTCAACGCTCTCTCTTACACCGACTCTACACATCCATCGTATTAAAGCTGCATCCCGCCTACCCGCTGTGATTGTGCACTGCACCGCAGACTTCCCTTTACGCTGTTACGACTTTATGATTTCAACGAGTGCCACGTCAACGCTCGAATCTGCTGCTTTTCGTTTCCTTCATTTATAGCTCTCCGCTCTTTTCTCTCTTTCCCTTCATACTCTCTCACTATCTCATTCATTCACTCACTCCCTTCTCTCGCCTATTCATTTCGCTCTCTATCAACCCTCCTTCCTCAGGCATTATTCACCCATTCACTTATTCCATTGACCTCGCTTTCAATACCTTTCAATTAGCCCATCTATCGCTTCAGGCATCTCCGTGCCTTGCATTATCTGATTTGCCTGCGAGCTTCTCGCCTCTCTCGCTTCATATCTTATCGCTTCGGCGAGCATCAAACACAGAGCTCCGAGGGAAGGACCAAGCCAAGGCCAGAACTGCCGACCTCGCCCTCGCTATCCTCTGCGCTCTCGCATCCCAGAGAGCATTTATTGACTGGCTCTCGCAACCCACCATAGCCTTTCAAACTGGCTGTCTCACGCTTCACCAGGCTGCTAGATCGCTTGATTCGAAGCTTCCATTTGGACAGCACCAAAGGCATCAGGGACATCAAGGCCAGCAGCATCAGCCATCCATCTCCACCTCTCTCAGAAGGTTCTGGCGGCCATTCAGCACCTCCGTCACACCCAGAAAGAGCCATGGCCCTCGCATCGATCCGCTCAAGAAGCACCTCTCGATCACGGCGATCTGCTGACCCCAATATCATTGGCCTTCGTTACGAAAAGACGATACAGGCAGAGCCTCCCATCCCGCTGCCGCCTCGAAATCCATCGCGCAGCACCATCCGTACGCTGTCCATACGGTCATCTGCGTCGTCGCCCTCTCCTTCGGTGTATGAGAATCTGTCTCTCTACTCGCCCAGCCTTGTGGTCGTTGCACCTCCCACTGAGGAGCATCCGGCGCTAAGAACGCCAGTTCGGCAAGCAAAACTCAATCACGAGAGTTGGAAGCGAGACTCGGGTCACGCGCCCACGCCGACGTCGGCAACCACCATCTTTGAAGAAGACTGCGAGGAAGAGGGAGAAGAAAGAAAAGAAGAGAGAAACGCGCAAAAGGCCGACAATACCTCGCCTGGCGCCAACCACTCTCCACCTCGGTCAACCAACATCGATGCTCCTGTCGATTTTGACGCTGTGCCACCGCATTCTGTCCCACAGTCTCAGCACGGAACAGTTGTCGGCCCAGTGCCGGGTGGTTGGCAAAGTTCGAGAGGTGAGACAGTCGTTATTAGGCCAGCCGCGTCTGCCCCGTCCCCTTCCCTGAAAAAGCTCCATACTGCGAGCGTTGCTCAACAGCCATCAACACCCTCCCCATTGCCATCGCCAGCCTCGCCTACAGGTAAGCGACAGAGCTTCCTGCAGCGTCTTAGCGTCTGCTCGTCTGCGCCGGCAAAGGGGAAATTAGGCCTGGCAGTGGGCGAGGGATCGCCTACCGCAAACGCAAACGCGCCGCCAATGCAGCCCCTGATGCGGGGCTCACAGCCGCCCCCAGCACCCGCTCATAAGCAGCCACAGCGGTCGTCGCCCGGCAATGCAGAAACGTCGTCTCTCGCACTGCGAGCTCGAGTTCGGGCGCACGCAACTGCATCACTGCCAAACGCTGCCTCTCCGGCCCACGAAGACGCCTGCTTCGCTCCTCTGGGCGTCTCCATCCCGACGGACAGCCTCCTCGAGGATGATTTTATGGCCACACTGTCATTTTCGAACCGCGGGAGCATCATGTTCGGGGGGCGACGCGCAGGACCGCTAGGCCTCGACGGGGCCAGTGACGCCGCAAGAGGCGATGCCTTAAGAAGCGATGCCTTTCCTTCTGCGCCCTCGACGCCCACCCATGCACGATCTGGCAGCGCCAGCGCCAGCATCGACCGCCTCGAATCCTACGCCGGCGCAAATGCTTCGAATCCCGCGCTGCGCGCGCCCTTGCCACCACCGCCCGACATTCGTGTCTTGACGTCCGAAATCGAGAAGGAGTCCCAAAAGGTGAGATCGCTCTATGGAGTCGGCGATGCCATCAATTGGGAGGATGGCGCAAGGCACTCGTACTGCGAACCTTTGGAGCCTACCCCAGAGCTCCCCGCGGAGGAGGATGGGAATGACTCGTATGGCTTTCCCTTGACGATTCCTGGCGTCGTGCGTTTCCAAGGCGCCTGCTTTCCTCCTTTGTGCTCGGAGCATCTTTCTTGCTAACACCTGCCCATTTCGATAGCATTCTACCGCCTCCCATTCCTGTTTGGGGGACTCCAAGATCCGTAAGATCTGCAAGCTCTTCGGTTCACTTTGATTACAGACGGGATACAGAGCTGGCAGGCGGCTTGGAAGACTGGGAAGATATTGACGGCGCCAGCGTGGACCGATATGGCTTCATCTCTGCTCCTCGACCACGATCACGGCTTGGTACACCGACGGAAATGAAGTCTGCCCAGTTTTCGCCAAGGCGGAGGCTACAAAAGAGAGAATTGACGGGCCTGTCACCCTTGGGCCCGAGTAGGAAAATGTCGGCGAGGTCACTCAATACGCAAAACTCGGAAATGTCTACAGCATCGAAGCGCTCTTCGCGATCGGTTATCCGACAGGCTAGCAACCTACTGCCTCACAACCGAGACCGGCGATGGCTGGACGAGGCCGGTGATATGCTGACGCTGCCACCTAGCCTCCAAGACGCTGCAGAAGAAGCCCAAATTGAGAGGATATCAGAAACGCTCAAGCGCAAGGAGTGGGAGAGATCGGAAAAGTGGCGCAAGATGGCCAAGGTTGTCCGAAAGGGCGGCCAAGGCGAAGGCATGGAGTTTGAGTTTGATAAAAAGAACCCTAAGCTTATTGAGCGAACTTGGAAGGGAATTCCCGATCGCTGGCGTGCTGCCGCCTGGTGGTCATTTCTTTCTAGTTCCGCCATGGATCACGAGAGCTATGCCTCTGAAGAGGACATTGTCTCCTCATTTCACCACCTGTTGGAACAAAGCTCGCCAGATGATGTGCAGATTGACCTCGATGTCCCGCGGACCATTAGCAGGCACATCATGTTTCGTAAAAGATACCGTGGCGGCCAGCGGCTGCTGTTCCGCGTCTTGCACTGCCTATCAATATACTTCCCAGAGACTGGCTATGTTCAAGGCATGGCATCTTTGGCGGCGACGCTGCTCTGCTACTTTGATGAAGAAAAGTGCTTTGTCATGCTGGTGCGCTTGTGGCAGTTACGAGGCCTTGATCGCTTATATCGCCCGGGTTTTGAGGGCCTGATGAAAGCGCTGCATGAGTTTGATGAGACTTGGCTCAATAAGGACGTAGCCAAGAGACTGGTGAGTGTTGACAGCACTGCAATATCTGAATCTTACTTCTAGACTTTACTCTTGGAACTAACATTACTTGGGCATAGACCGAACTCAGCGTGGATATAACTGCGTATGGTACACGATGGTATCTTACCCTCTTCAACCTCTCTATTCCGTTTCCAGCTCAGCTGCGAGTCTGGGATGTCTTTCTGCTGCTGGGAGATAGTGCAGCCGAGCCGGCCATCTCCATCGGTTCCAGCGACAGTGAAACGACTCCGCCGACAGGGCTCGATATTCTGCACGCCACCAGTGCTGCCTTGGTACAGGCCCTTCGCGAGGTGCTCCTTGATTCAGATTTCGAGAATGCGATGAAAGCCTTGACATCATGGATTCCCATCAAGGACGAGGATCTTCTGATGAAGGTGGCCAAAGCAGAGTGGAAGTCGCATCAAGGCAAGAAGAAGACGTAGCACGCTTGCTCCCCCCAGAGCATCGTCTCCTCGATGGGGCAAAGCTGACATTGCCCTATCATCACTGTCCATAAAAGTCTTTCCTTTGTGCTTTTCCTTTTGTGCTTTTTTCTTCTTCATTTGGCACAGGGGAACGGGATATTTAGCTTTTCTCTAGCTACCCCCCCTTCTTCTGTCGCTTCAATTTTCGTACCTCCCGATACCCCCTCTTGTGTTTTGTTACCGATACCCTCTACTAATGGCAGACGGGCCTATTTGACACCCCTCTTCACACACGCAGTCTCCTTTGTTTCTGACGTATTGCCATCTCCTTTTGCTTCAGTTTTGTTTTTCTGTCTCTCTGGCTTCTCTTGCTTCTCATTTCCCTTGATATACCAGGATGCGGGACAGGGTGGCGTAGGGCGGGCGTATGGTGCGCCCTCAGTTATGGATACCCTTCCGTCACGGAGGCGTTTTGTTCTTTTTTTCAAGCGGCGGGTAGTTAGAAATGGTTGTCGATCTATTTGGCCAAGTTTGGCATGGAGGAAGTATCCCGGCGGTATCTGCTTGGTGGGCGGTAGCGGGCAGATGTTGTGACGGTGTTCCTGGGTTACTTGATATAGAACGGAAAGCAATGGAAATTACCATTACTGGTATGTACTAATACAGATGGAGATTGTTTGAATCCCAGTCCCGACAAACTTTGAGCCTCTCTATTTGGCACCCTGTAAGCACTTGAGCACGATGAAATTTTGGGCAGCAAGAATCGAGAGCGTAACCGACGGCGCTGACGACAAAGCCAAGAACTGGCCCTCTGGGAGGGAATCTGGGAGACCGTCGCACGTGAGATTTCGCAATCGACTCGCTTCGAGAGCAGTTCTGTCACTTATCCTTGCCGGTTTCCCATGGAGGTTAGTGCTTGTTTCTCACTTGTAGGTCTTATTCAAGACTGGATTAGCTGGTTTACATGACTTGTGATGTGTACAAGTAAGCTTTTTTTTCGTTTGGAGTAGCGTGCTCCGCTGTAGATTTTTCATATTGTTTGCATACAGGTACGCGTAAAGAAGAGTTGGGATTCGTATCAACACTATCGTATTGATATACGAATCATGAGTGCCAAGAATGAGGTAGTAATGCCTATTAGTAAGTTTGTCACATGCGTTTTCCCGTGTCTATTTTTCACTTTTCCTATACCCCCCTCTCCCTACCCCCTGTTGTAATCTCTCTTGGAAGGTTGAGATTAGACGAGAGAGAAGAGGGAGGGGGGG